CGGGGTGAGAAACAGGCAATGAGAACTGAAAGCTGCAGATGCCATATCCTCTTCCACAATGTGAAGGCCTGTAGGCTAATATGAGACATTTCTGTCTCTATCTTTTGATATTACCTAAGTACCCCTAGAAGACAATTTCAGTCCTATTTCTCATATTTATGGATCCTGTTCTTACGGAGAAACTTGTACTATGATCTTTAGCAAAATAATGAACTTACTTATATGAAGTTCAAATTAGCAGTTCATGAAATAATGGGGTTATAAGGAGAATCTTGGGTCTATTTGTGTGTGTGTGTGTGTGTGTGTGTGTGTGTGTGTGTGTGTGTGTTTTATTTTTATTTTTTGGCACCGGGGATTGAACTCGGGTCCTTGCTCTTGCAAGGCAGTCCACTGAACCGCTGAGCTAAATCCCTGGCCCTGGGGCCTAATATTAGTAAACAAAAAATTAAGGAACCATTTAAGCAAAAATTTCTGTCCAAAACTCAGCCCCAATAAGGGGTGTTTCTCAACCATCAATGCAGATAGGACTTTTCCTGTGTGTAGGTTCACACAGTGCTTACTATTCTCTACATGGCGAATGTGCTGATGTGAAGCCTGAGACTATTGTCCTGTCTTCCTCCCTTATAGTAATTGAGTCCCATAGTCCTTCACTATCTTTAAACTTACTTGTTTTACATTACCTTACTAGTTGTACATGAATCCATTGGTATTAGCCAAGCTAAGCCCTATAGTTGTCATGCTTCAGCATTGATGGTAGTGCACACAGTTCAGATCCCAAACAAAAGCCCTCCGCACGCACTCATGGGAATTGGTTTCTCCTAAGGGTAGCACCTCAACCACTTCGATGAGATGTGGATTTCAATGGAAGCCGAAGGTGTTCATTTATCTTTCCACCACATGGCACTTTGCTTACAGAAACATTTTCAAAAGCATTTGCATTGAGCAAATGAATTTATGACTTCCAACTGCATCAAGGACTTGATAATTTAAGGACTTTAAAACTGTTTCTGTTTTCCAATTGTGCATTATCTACTTTACCTAAAGAGAAGTTTAAAATAAGACATTTAGGTAATGTGAATAATAAAAATTTTTCACATGTGATTACCTCATTATTATACCGGCCTCATATTAAGATTTTCTGTACCCAAAAGGAAAGAAATGTGTGATCCTGAAGGTTATTATTTCTATTTAAAGCATGAATGTGTGTAAGCAGCTGTAACAGTTTCTGTAATGTGCTCAGAGGAGAGGAATCTTAGCGACCCAGTGGCTGTGTCTCAGCTTTATGGCTGAAGAGCTGTGTGACATTTGTCAAATCAATTAACCTCTCTGTGTCTGAGAGCTTCCAAGTTTTGAAGAGGTTAAAAAAAATACTTGTTTTCTATAGCTGTCTACACCCACAAAGTAAAAGGCATGTCTTAGGGGAGTAAAGGCAATTATTTAGATGATTCAGGCCAAAATCAATCCTGCCATGAAGGGGAAGAAAAAAAAAAAACTGTGCATTTGGGCCTCAGCTGTCCAGATTGCCTGTCGACATCAATCAAATTCACAGAATAAATGGCTCAACCCTTTGCTTGTGCTAGGAAGGCACCTTTGGGGGCATATTAGCTTGTTAAGACCAATGAGTGAATCATTAATGGCTTCAGGCCACTTAGCACACATCTGAGAAGAGCCTATGAAGGCTCTGAATTTCTGGAATGTCTGGATTTCAAAGGACTCTCATCTTGCAAAATCACCTTCAAAATTAATCTCACAGGGAAGGGAAGTGAAAAAAGGGATCCAGATTTGATTTTGTGCGCAGTGTGTTTTGGACATTTTGCTGGATGCTTCATTCACCCTCTTCTCTCAGTTGATCTCCACAATAACAGGAGATAAAACTGAAGCCCAGAGATAGTAAGGATCCTCAAATTACACACCCAATAGCTGACACTTAATTGTAAGTCTGTGAGCAAGCCCCTATACCACACTCCTCCCCAGCAAACACTTGTTGTGATGCAATTAAATTTAGTGAACATCGCCGGGCACCTATAAAGCACTAGGTGTGAAGCCAGGAGCTGAGCAGAGTCAGGTGAACGAGGGATGGACCATAGTCCTACTATCATGGGCTCTTACCTGTAAAAGATGAGAACAACACACACCTGATAGTAATGCAGAATTGGCCACCTGCAAGCATGCACAAAGAGGGAATCAAGCCGCAGACTTCTTTAGAAGCCCTTTAAGGGACCTGTGGAAAGGTTTAAATCTTCCCTCTTAGGTCCAGAAGCCATTCTTTGTATTCTTACATCAAGAAGAGAGTCAAGCCTAGGTAGATTTCTTGTGTAGAACAGGTAGGGGGTGCTTCATGATTCATGGAGGTCAGCAACATCTTTTACTATGTGTTTTACTAAGTACAAGCTGCTTGACCTCTCTGAACTTCAAAACGTGCTTAGTAAAAAGACAATAAAAATGCCTGGTCCACAAGGCAATAGTGGCTCAAATCATTAGCGGAGACTTGTTAGCATATTGCCTCACGTGGTTGTTAATAAAGAAGATATTACTATTACTAGTTTTTATGGCTTGTATCTAGGTGCTCCCCCACAAAGCCTCAGGCACTCATAGGTAGGGGTTTTGGAGTTGGCCGGATCTAGGGCATGTAATACTGGGATTAAGGGTGTGTGATACTGTATTAGTCCACTGATTGGAATTAATTTAGTTCTGGGAGTCATCATTCAAAAAGCTGGTATCCTGGTTGGGATAAAAAGGAAAGGCAGGCTGTCTGCTGTCTGCTTGCTGCTCACTGCCTTCTGCTTGCCACATTATGAACTCTCTCCTCTGTGATGCCCCTCTGCCATGTCACTCTAGCTTGGAGCCAGTCAACTATGAAGTGAAACTTCTACAGACTGTGAGCTGAAATAAACCTTTGCTCCTTAATTTAGGGTGTTGGATATTTTGTCTCAGCAATGAGAGCTAAGATACTGATTTAATGGCTTTGTCTGAAATATATTTGATAGAAAGTTTACAACAAAGAAGGCGCTATGATCTGTCTGCGGTAAGAGGGTGGATTTCTTTTCTGGTACATTACTGTTCTTGAACTAAATCATTCATGGAACAATGAACAAAAAAATGTCTGTATTTTAATGAATTAAGCATTATAAGTGAGCCACTTGCTCAATACATTGATTATTCATCACCTATGAAACAGCTTCTGACATTCAAATTCATTTCAATTTCAGTCCTGGCCTTGTCTTCCAAAAGTGAAATTATGACCTTTCTAATATCATCTCAACTGCTATTTAAACTTTTCAGACCAAAGTCCTTCCTTTGGTTATTCTGGATTGTTTATGCCCATAAATCCTATCCCATCCCTGGCTTCACAAGGCCCATAAGGCACTTTTAATTAACTGTGTTCACTGATTCTTTTTTTATACCCATGATCACTATGCTTTCCACTTAAGGCAATCCATAGTTCCAAGGCCAATCAAAAACATCTTCGTAGAACAAAATTCAGTGCTGAAATCTGGACCCTATCCACTTCAACTTTCAGCTAGTGCCTGAAAATGAGTAAATGTGCCTAAGTATTAATGGAATGGAATAAGTTTTAATGGAGAGGAGTATGAAACTCAAACAACAGTTAAGAGCATGTTTGACTGCTCTATAGGATTATTACAGCTACTCTATAAAGACCTACAAAAATGATCATGGGTAGAGGACAATAAGGATGGTTCTACCCTTTTGTATTAATGTCCTTCTTGCTGTGATAGTTTGTAGGTAGAGCAGTGGTACATACTTAGATTCACTAAAGGATCATTAGCACGTGATTATGATAGCTGACCAACTATGGAAGGTTGATATGTACAAGACATGTGGAAGTGAGTCAGTTGAGGCAAGATGAAATGTGATGGAATCTCAGTTTAAATGAGACCGCTGGCACAGGAAGCACATTGGTTGAACATCATGAAATAGATAAACAAAGAAGCAGCACCCTGCCTTGTCCACAATAAATATCATACTCTTCGTGTTTTGATATGTTAAGAGAATAAAAATATAAAGGGAATTATATTGGACAGTGATAAAACTTGGATGTAGGCGAGGAAACACTTATTGGTAGAAGTAGTGCTGGCCAGAGAGACAAAAAGTATTTGAAAAGTCCTGCCTTTCAGCAACACTGAAATCTAGGATGATGGAAAGTCCTTTCCATTAAAGAGATGCTCCACAACGTCACAAAAAAAAAAAAAAAAAGAACTGCA